ATGGTTTAACTTAGATTATAGGGCATTATGTCAATCGCTAAAGCTATTTGCCTGTTTTCAAATTGCCTGTTTTTTTTTTCTCTTGATCGAACTAACGCCTTTGAAGATAACAACATATTTTTTTTCTTTTTATTACGTTTTAAAGCTCTAAATAATACCGTTACAAAAAACATAAGGCAAAACCTGGCAGTTTGGTATCATTGGACTCGGTAAGGATTCATGAGTATAAAGAGGACACTCCTGTGAAAAAAAAAAAAGCTGGGTTGAAAATTCTCAGGCTCCTTCAGGGCATTGTGCCGATGATGTATACTGAGTTTTTTGAGATACGCCAATATTCTCATAGACTATCAAGGTACCCTGGACAAACAGACTGCATGCCAATTTTTATTCGACTAATGGTTGGGTGCAGTACATGAACACGTGTCCCAAGTTTAGCGAAAATATTTAATTCCATTCACAAGTTATAACCGTTTTAGGAAAAGTGGCTCTGGTGCCATCAAACATTTTGCTTCCCCTTAGCGACCGACAATTGAAATTGTGATTTTTTTGATGATTATAGACAGTCAGACTCCATAGAACATTTCTGCAGTGGTTTGGTTCAGATCGGACCAAAACCCTAGGAGTAGTTCTCAAAAGTATGTTTTTCAAAAAAAACGCAATTTACTCAAAATTGGCGAGCCAATCCGGGGCATGCATCTTGTCCGGCTGGAGCCAAGGTTTACAACAATGTAAGACACTTGAGCCTAAGCCCGACGGTTGAGGAGTTATGAGCCATTTCATACTTTTGCCCGCTGTAGTGCCGGCGTGAGGCCGATCGGGGCGTGCCTTTGTGACGCTGTCGGTGGATATGAGTACTACCAGCCCCCAAAGTTTCAAGTCTCTAGGACTTGCGGTTCGTCCCGCACGATCAGTTTTACATGGAGAATGTTGCATGATGGGTAAATTAACAATAACAATAGGGTTTCAGCACTTCGTGCTTTAACCCCTAAATATGAAGGTGTAACTCAATATAATCAATATGTGTGTGTGGATGCATGGATGAATGGATAGATACAAATATATTTAATTTTGTGGTTTTGTTTCAGGTTTATGTTTTCATGTCTTTTTTTTAAATTGCCCTCTTGTGATCATGTCTTGTGGTCTCATGTGTCATGTTCTGATTGGTTCTTGTGTTCACTGCTTTCAGGTGTGTCTTGTTTAGTCATTAGTCTTGATATATAGCCCTTCAAGTCAAGTTATAGCCATGTCTGGTCATTGTCGTGTTTTGTTTATTTTTGTATTGGTTTCACATTTACTCCAATACACTGTACATGGATTCTCATTCAATTTATCATCAGTGGATATTTGTTAAAGGAAGCTAGACAAGAGACAATGGGAAAATGAGGGCTATTTATACACCAAGACTAATGACTAAACAAGACACACCTAAGGACAAATGAACACAATTAATTAATCAGAACATGACGCATGAGAAGCACAAGTCACATGATCACATGAGGGCTATGAATCACTTGACAAACAGGAACCATGACTATGTGAATTATAAAAAAAGACATGAAAACATAAATGTGAAACAAGTCACTTGATCCTTTAGAACTTTAGAACTCTTACTTTCAATATTGTAAACAGTTGTGATGCTTACTATCTTTATGGTAACGTGCATATTTTAGTCTTTGATGAGAGCAAGTTTAAAAGAACAGCACTTATTTGAAATATAAATCTTTTGTAACAATTTAAAAGTCTTTACTGTCACTTTTTACCCATACAGTGCACCCTTGCTGAATAATTTTTTTGAACGGTAGTGTAATATTCTTTATATCCACATAGCATCACCACTACATCACATCGGTCAGTGTGCCTTGTTTTCAGTCCACTGCGCCAGTGAATAAATGATGACCATTTTAACAGGAGGTGCTCTAATATAGTAGCCTGGCTGCCAGCCCGAACTCCGCCCACAACATTTTTTGGTCGGGAAGTTCGGTCTGGACTCGATCCATTGAGGGGTAATTCTGATCGGTTCAGAAATCATCGGGCCAATCAAATTGCCAGGACAGGCTTTATACGATGATGGACAGATGATCTGCAGTTACGTAATCGTCACTTTATCAAAGAGCGCTTGGGTTGAACTGGTTTCCCCTCAAAGTTGACTGGAGCTGGAGAATTGAGATGTATAGATTCCGCTATTGTGCCTGTTGTAAAAGAAATAGATTTTAAAAGACGAACAAAGAACTGAAATAAAGGCATTTGTCGATCGGAAAGATGTGTTTGACATCCATTGGGATTTGGCAAAGGTTTAATTTATCAGCTGGCTCTGATGGTCGCTAAGAAGAGGGAACGCAATGAAAGCCCTGTGGTCGTTGTGGTTTCTCCTTTGGTTGCATTCACGGAGGACCAAGTAAAATAATCAACACTTATTATTTTACTTCTTCTAGCATGCGTGCAGTTGAGGTCTGTTCTGTTGACAACTATGCGTTTTTTTTTTTTTGGTTCGGTTAAGACATGCCTCTTAATCAAGGCCCTATGGAGCAGTATCAGACTCACATTCTGACTAGAATATGAGTATGATGAAGTCAGGCAACTAATCTAGAGTAATTAGAGTAACTAATCAACTAATCTAGGTGAGCAAAACAACTGAAATGTCTTACATCATTTTAAGCCTTTAAAATTCGGTGGCATTTTCTTTCACAGATTTTCCAAATAAATTCTTTTTTTTATACACAACTACACAACTTTGAATTGCCAAGAGCACATAATATACACAGAAATACAAGGCCACGCTAATCAATACTGATATGATTCTGACTTTTTGGTGTAAATTTACAACAAAACATTTTTGTGTGTGTATGTGATGAGCCTGGTGTATTATTTCACTCTCAGGCATTCAAAAAATAAGAGGAAATTGGAAGTGTGCATGTGTGTGTTTGTTTGTAGAGGTGAGTGTATATGTGTGTGAATATGTGGCCTTGTGTGTGAGAGCCTGGCTCCTGTCCGTCACACTTCACTACCCATTCAGCAGCGCTCAGAGTGACAGAATACCAATAGGAAACTTAGACAGGAGAAGGACAACCAGGCCATAGTGAAACCGAGCTGGACGCTGACAGAAAAAGAATAAGGCAGGAGAGGCAGGACCCTGATCAAATCCTTCAACCTATCACTGACACCTGCTTTGTAAATCATGGAATTAACATTAACCTGTCATTCCTATTTATAGCTAATCCATTACGGCCAAGACTCTGGAGTCGCCATAGTGCTAAGTGCTATATGCTTTTTTTTTCTGTTCTGCTTGCTTTAACAAAAGCTCACGAAACAACTTTCAAAGTTCTGATTCTTGCTTTCAGTTCAGCCTGTTTTAAAAGCATGAAAAAGAGCTGAACATTTGTGTATGCAGTGTTAAAAGCTTAGATGTCAATTGAAATAACATAACGAAGAAAATGATACTACAGTCTTGTCATCATTATGTCTTTCTAATGTCTTAAGTGGTGAGCTGTAAGTGTTCCCAGATTGTACTTGCCGTCTTGATGAATTGATTTTGGCCTGCATGCATTATACTTTATTTAGCGTTCCAAATGCCCTTACAATCTAAGACTGAAATTAAGCTTTTACAAAACAGCTTGTATATAATATAGGATTGCCTTTATTTATTGGCAAGTCTATTGTTGGGATAATATTACTTGCCAGAATAAGTATTTACTGTAAATGAATAATGAAAAGAAGAAATAAAAAAATCATTTAAATTGATTTCATAATTATATGATACTTCAAAAAAATATTTTTTTTTCTTGACTAAACCTGTGGCAAACAGGCTCAGGCTAAATTAAGATGAAGCTACTACTAAAAGTACACTGTTCAGAAGTTTGGGGTCAGTAAGATTGTTTACATTTATTTTTAAAAATAAAATAATACTTTTATTCAGCAAAGATCCATTAAATGAAAAAAAGTAACCATAAAGACATTTTGTAATGTTACTATATATATATATATATATATATATATATATATATATATATATATATATATATATGAAGAGTTCAGATGCAAAAGCCTCTAAATGCCATTTGAAATTTTCTTCTTTAATGATGATTTTTATCAAACTTGTATATTTAAGTAAAGTAATTTCACTTAAATGGCAATGATAATTACCTATTAATTGTTATGTAAGTGAAATTACTGAACTTAAATATATAAGTTTGATAAAAATCATCATTAAAGAAGAAAAATTCAAATGGCATTTAGAGGCTTTTGCATCGGAACTCTTCATATATATATATATATATATATATATATATGAAGAGTTCAGATGCAAGTGCCATTTTAAATTTTCTTCTAGAATGATCATTTTTATCAAGCTTGTATATTTAAGTTCAGTGATTTCACTTAAATGGCAATGATAATTACCTATTAATTGTTATTTAAGTGAAATTACTGAACTTAAATATACAAGTTTGATAAAAAATCATCATTAAAGAAGAAAATTTCAAATGGTATTAAGAGGCTTTTGCATCTGAACTCTTCATATATATATATATATATATATATTATAAAACCTTTTTATAAACCTTATTATTATAAAATCTAAAAAATACTGTATTGCAGTTTTCACAAAAATATTAAGCAGCTGTTTTCAACATTAATAATAAAAATTATCACTAAATCGGCATATTAGAAGGATTTCTCAGGGATTATTTGACACCTAAAATGAAAAAAATTCCTCTTTTTTTTGAACAAATGAACGAAGCTTTGGTTGGCATAAAACACTTCAAAAACATGATGGTGAAAAAATTCACCTTGGAGTTTTCCCTCAATCAACTAGGAAGTTGTTGTGTTGCTTATGATTATGTATGGGGAGTACATTGAAAATATAAGGCATTAATATGTAATTTATAAGTACTAAAAAAACAGCCAATATGCTAATATTGCATGGCCAAGATCTCTTAGTTAGCAGGGAATAGTGTTCCCAAATGTACCTCTAGTAACGCCTCTAGTTGGCTTCATTAGCGCACGGTTCTGATCTCAGGTGTTGGGCCTTTGGGGAGGGAAATTGTGTGCCAGAACATATGCCAACACATGACCTTGTCCTGACAGACTGGGCTGTACTTGGCATGGGGCACGGGGCACCAGATGGGCTTGGTAATGTGCTCGGCGTGAGGGAGGAGCGAGACCTACGTGCTCCTCTCAATCAGGTAAGACCTGGAGACCTGTGGAGGCCTTAGGGGTGGGGGCCAAATTCATTAACAACACAGTGTGAGGGGCACAATAGGGGAGAGGGGGCATCACCCCCACCCAAAACACACACTCTTATTTGTCCTCTGCTGTGACCTACTATCATAAAAAATTCACACATTGGAGATATTAGTGGAAATGGATTAATGTTGTTTTCCTTCATATCATATTTTACCACAAGAGACAGTTCACCTAAAAATTATTTCATCATTTACACCAACGTAATTCCAAACCTGCTATGGATATTTTGAACAATGTTGAGGTCCAAACTACTTCGGACAAAAAACAAAACAAAAAAAAAACATACAGGTTTAGGCTTCCTCAATTCACTCAAAAAGGGTGAGTATAAATGATGACAATTTTCATTTTTGGGTGAATTATATCTTTAAAGTCCCTGTCAAGTCAAAATTAAGTATGTGTTCCGAGTTCGTGAACACCACAAAAAAATGTGTTATTAGCTACCCAGCCAAATTTGAATGATAAAAAAAGTTGGCAAGTACATAAAATAAGCTATCAAAATCTTGAAAAAAATCAAAATGCTGGGGGCGTGTCCGCTGGCTGCGCTGAAACCACACCCACTCGCAGGAAAGCTGCCGACAGTCATGCTGATATTAGGTGATACTGCTTTCGGGACGGGAGGATGAAGGCCGAGGCAGGAGATAGTCGTTTCGGCCCCGTTCGCCAGTAACAGCGGATTATCAGTGAATCCCAGTTGTCTCCGACGAAAGTTTATAAAACGATCCCGTGTAAAATGATCACTACAGAGGTGGGTGTTGGCGGTGATCGTCAGCTCTCCATCAAGGTGGCTCTTCACAAAATTAATCCACCTCTCCTTGATGTGATAATTTTTAGGAAATTTAAATAAAGACACGGATCTGTTTTGTACATGATTGCCATAGGCTGCGCTAGGGAAGGGCTAGCAGGTGCTTCAGCACCCCCAAGAAAGACCAAAGCACCCCAATAGCACCCCCAACCCCAAAAATAATATCTGTAAGCAATTATATTTTGGCTTTATAGAAAACAGTTTACTAATAAAAATCAATGTTTTTGTATATTCTAATTAATAAATGATAAAATAATTTAAGACAAACATTTTACTCATTACACATAGGCTATGCGACGTCCGACGTCAGGTCACGTAAATTGCAATGTATTTAAATTTTTTAGAAAGATGGAGCATTTCCTTTTGCCATGTAAGCAAACTCATAATTCTAATTTAGTTTGTGAAAATGAGTAGCCTACATACATTTACCTCAGCCCGAGGTTGACAACGTTTCAGAATCGGATTTTAACTGTACGGAGTCTGACAAGGAGTCCGTTAATGCGTTTGCCTCAGATGCAGAAATGGCAAAAGTTACAAGGCGTTTCATATGCACCTCCTTTGCGTAGGTCTGTGGTCTTTAAATGCTGTAATAACCTAATAAAATATAATCACTGACAAACATGCACATGCTCTGATTATAATCATATAGCCTATAGATCATTTTAGATGATGTTCTGTATGCTTTATTTTAGCAGCTTGCAAATTATTTATGCTATCTATGAAAGTTGGGGGAAAGTCGTCTTTTTCGGGTCGCGCTTCAATCTATCGCCATAGCGATTGCATGTGTACATGACGCCGGATAGTGTTGCTAAGAACTAGCAATGTATAAATATCAGACCGGCCCTCGCGGCCTCGAAACACTCGCGGCTCACCTGGAAAAGTCCCTGGATTGCCACTCCGCTACTGACCGGCGGCCACAGTATCACTTGTGCTCGCGCATGTCTCATGAAGCTGCCGCTTCTTTGCTGCGTGCGTGAGGAGAAACACTGACCACAGGGAGGGACTGGAACCGCACACACCGATACGTCTCTTACAAGTCTGGAATGCGGTTATACATAAAAGTATCAATTCTAATAAATGTAGGTATCGTTAGGTTTTTAATTTCCGAGTATCGTGATATCGTGATACTTTTGAAGTAGGCTTATCGGTGCACCATGCAACACTAATATATACACTCACCGGCCACTTTATTAGGTACCCCATGCTAGTAACGGATTAGACCCCCTTTTGCCTTCAGAACTGCCTCAATTCTTCATGGCATAGATTCAACAAGGTGCTGGAAGCATTCCTCAGGGAGTTTGGTCCATATTGACATGATGGCATCACACAGTTGCCGCAGATTTGTCGGCTGCACATCCATGATGCGAATCTCCCGTTCCACCACATCCCAAAGATGCTCTATTGGATTGAGATCTGGTGACTGTGGAGGCCATTTGAGTACAGCGAACTCATTGTCATGTTCAAGAAACCAGTCTGAGATGATTCCAGCTTTATGACATGGCGCATTATCCTGCTGAAAGTAGCCATCAGAAGTTGGGTACATTGTGGTCATAAAGGGATGGACATGGTCAGCAACAATACTCAGGTAGGCTGTGGCGTTGCAACGATGCTCAATTGGTACCAAGGGGCCCAAAGAGTGCCAATAAAATATTCCCCACACCATGACACCACCACCACCAGCCTGAACCGTTGATACAAGGCAGGATGGATCCATGCTTTCATGTTGTAGACGCCAAATTCTGACCCTACCATCCGAATGTCGCAGCAGAAATCGAGACTCATCAGACCAGGCAACGTTTTTCCAATCTTCTATTGTCCAATTTCGATGAGCTTGTGCAAATTGTAGCCTCAGTTTCCTGTTCTTAGCTGAAAGGAGTGGCACCCGGTGTGGTCTTCTGCTGCTGTAGCCCATCTGCCTCAAAGTTCGACGTACTGTGCGTTCAGAGATGCTCTTCTTCCCACCTTGGTTGTAACGGGTGGTTATTTGAGTCACTGTTGCCCTTCTATCAGCTCGAACCAGTCTGGCCATTCTCCTCTGACCTCTGGCATCAACAAGGCATTTCCGCCCACAGAACTGCCGCTCACTGGATGTTTTTTCTTTTTCGGACCATTCTCTGTAAACCCTAGAGATGGTTGTGCGTGAAAATCCCAGTAGATTAGCAGTTTCTGAAATACTCAGACCAGCCCTTCTGGCACCAACAATCATGCCACGTTCAAAGTCACTCAAATCACCTTTCTTCCCCATACTGATGCTCGGTTTGAACTGCAGGAGATTGTCTTGACCATGTCTACATACCTAAATGCACTGAGTTGCCGCCATGTGATTGGCTGCTTAGAAATTAAGTGTTAACGAACATTGGACAGGTGTACCTAATAAAGTGGCCGGTGAATGTATATATATATATATATATATATATATACTGTATATATATACATAATTGCGCAGCTCCCCCTGAAAATGATCTAGCACCCCCTCAGCACCTGCGTTAAAAATTTTCTGGCGCCGCCCCTGATGATTGCATCCAGGTAGTAGCCTAAGCATACCGTGTCGAAGGCATAGCTAGCTAGAAAACTGTAGGCTGGAATAACTAATAGTACTGACAGTAACTCGTGATTGAGTGGCGAACTGATGCGAATGTGCTCTATTGTTAGGGGAGGGGACGCCTCAGTGCGTCATCAAGTAGGGGCAGGGCCAGGAGCTCAGGGGCTCCAGTGCATCATCGAGCCCCCATTTTAGCCCCGCCCAAAAAATCCGGAAAATAGCAATGGTGCAAACGGTCTAACTCTACAATTCAGTACTTCACAGTCTTTGTAATATTATAGCAATACATTTGCAACATTTATAATGAATGAACAACTACAATTACTGTGGAAAAAAAGTATATTTCAGAAGAAAATGAAAAAAAAATAATATTTTGAACAATATAGAAAATACAATAAAAACGTCATCCAAAATGAAGCGTAATGTATTTAGGTAAGAGTAACTTCCACTCTCCACACTTTACCTTTTAAGAAAAACTGAGTGATGGTGACAAATGCACTCCCACTCTCTCTCTAGGATGCTGTCACTCTCTTCACATGACTTGTTGCTGTTAATTGAACCTCATATCCACCAATTTACTGCTCAATTTGTTGGCCTGGATGCGTCTCTTTAAGCTGTAACGGATGCCTGGCAACACATTAACCATTCAGTGGGATACAGACACGTTCCCAGGGAATCACACTGGGAGTGAGAAAAAAGACTGATGACTGAATAGGCTTCAAATGACATATATAATTCAATATTAAATCTAACCATCATCATAAAGAGCTCTTGACTGTTTATTCTTTACATAATGGAAAGGTTTTTAATTACATAGAGATGAACCGTGTGAGTGAAATGAGATGAACCACAAGAGAGAGAGAAAGAGAAGAGAGAGAGAGAGAGAGAGAGAGAGAGAGAGTCCTCAAACCTCACCATTGTATGTGTGCAATTCATATAGACTACTTTATTATCTTTTTTGGAGCTTTTCTACTGCATCTGTATTGAAAAATGCACACTACACAGTCAGCAAAACCTCCACAGAAGAAAGAATCTTCTTTGAAATGACATGAGGGTGAGCAAATATCTCCATAATTTTAATTTTTGGTGAAATATCCCTTTAAATCAAACAGCTCAATCCAGTGTGAATGCATCTGCTGTAAGGTCATGCAGTCGTCCTTTGCCTCATGGCATTACACTAGGGCACAAAGAAGAGCTTAACACTCATTTTCTGGATGATTAATTTACTCTAGATATGATCTCAGATAGTTCATTGGCACCGCCGCCCATTTCCTTTCTAACAACATTGGCTTCTGCCCCATTTTAGAGTCTTTTTCTCCCCCATTTTTTTTCTCTGACCTGAACACTAATGTTTACAGATTCAGAGCGAGGTCTGGCATTCCTCAGGCCACAGTAAATTATACACACCTGCCTGCTCCCCAAAACACAGCTCTGTCCT